AAAAAACGCAGATATCTCAGCAACTCAACTGTCATGTATAGTCCGGTATTCTTTCAGGGAAAGGGTGTGATGGAAACATTCTGGTTGCTTGGCCGTCGTGGAGCTTTCTCTCCGGCTTCTCCCATCAAACAACGTATCGAGCAGAACACAGAAGAACAAATCGAGGAACAGAATGACGAACCAAACACCTCTCTCCGAAGACAAGACAGCTGAGAAGACTCCACCACTAACTCCGGACATCGGTTCAACAAATGCAATGTACAGAGAATATTTGCGTAGCGATACATTAGAAGTTTCTTAATTCTTGGTATAGTGCCAATCGCAGTTCTGCAAAACGCAATGAATCTGAATCTACAATGAAAGAAAGTTTTTAGTGGATGATTTTCATTCATATCTGTAGTTTTTGGAAGTATAAGAAGAAATCATCAGTAAAATCTGAAAAGGCTAACTATTCGAGAGCCGAAACGGGGTCTGTTCTGTGACGGGGATATGCTGTTACAACTGTTCGTACTGCTGTTATCAAAGGCAATATGCCTGAACTGTTGCATATGCTGAGGCTGTCAGGCAGGTTATTAAACAAAATATGTCAGAATATATTCGTTAGAATGGGGGGAGGTGGCATGCCGCAATAGTTGTTTGGCTGCTATAATGAAGGTGACACGTCCGAGCCTATTATACACTGCGTTCAATAATGATACAGCCACCTAAAATTTGTTCGAAAACTTAAAGTTCATAGAGTTTCTGAAAAACTGTCCAGATAGAAAATGTGACAAATTTCATGGCGAGTTCAGATATCAACACAAAAATCCATGTCGAAAACACTAAAAAATTTTGTGCTTATTTTTTCAGAAGAGGTCGATTTTCCTATGTTCAAAAATGATACAGCCACCCCGTGTTTCTTCGTTGAAATTCATTTTTGCTTCATGAAAATGATTCGCAGTTATCAGACTTTCACCTTAAAGCAACAGTCCAGGCAGGGTTTCAACTACTTGGTCATTAGGCGGTCAAAACATGCCCCAGCCCAACTAAAGTTTATAGGAAATGTCTTTAAGTTCAAAACCTACCTCTAAAATGCGCTGGAAGGGGTCGAAGTCCTCTTGGAGGGGGCGGATCACCCATACCGAGGCGGATCGCTCAACATACGCTGTGCAGAGTCCGTGCTCGACTAGCGGTCGTTGCGGGACCGCCGCGCTGTATGAGGTCGATTCCATAAGAACGCAATTGAAGCGCTTCAATTTCGATTGCTGGCAAATAGTTATGTATTTGCAAGCATGCATGGCTATTTGCCAGCAGTTGCAATTGGAGCGCATGTACTACGGGCAGGTTCGGACAACTCGTCCAACACACGTCTCCCTAAACGGCAGGGGGAGTCCCTGTCTAAGCCCCTGCCCGACGTTTTTTTCTACTTTTTCTTTCTCCATTGACCAACTTCTCACCTGCAACGTCATTATAGGTGGTCCTTACCCGCGAATTCGTTCCTGGATTGTTGCTTTAATGCCACAAGATAAAAAGACAGTTTGGTTTTGAAAAAAGGTGAACTGTAGCAAAAAAGGACCAGGAATCGTCAAGCAGTCATATTGCGCAAAAATTGAGTCAAAGCTCCAATACGGTTAACAATCTTTTCTGGAATCCTGTAGGTTATGGAACAAAGAAGAGCTCTGGATGTTCATCATTGCTTTTTGGTCAATTTAAACTTCGCATTTTGGGGAAACATTTCAATTTCATCGAACAGTGCCCGGAATTCCAGTCTTCTTTCAGAATTAAACTTTCAATGGATATTGTTTGGGATGTGTTGAAGATTTTCCGAGGTCATTCTTCAATGGAGAATCAAAGAAACCTTGTTTGTGAAAAGAAATTCTTCCGAAAACTGAGAGTCTTAACACATTTCAAACATTTTCTCCACGTACCAGGCAAAAGGACGGCGACTGCAGCACACCCTGCAAAAAGACATGCACAAAAGCGACAGCTTTGATCAAAACAGCATCAAATAATGTTCCACACAAAAATGAGAACATGTAGAAGATGCCGTTATGAAGAAGAAGTCGCACAGAAAAAAAAGTGAGATGAAAATTGAATGAACAAACCTTGAGATGCTGGGAAGTCCATGCAAAATGCGTTGTTCGTAGAATGCAAGCTTCATAGCAGTTTCAAAAAATGTTCTCGACAATGTTAAGAACACATTAATGATGCTGCTACGAAAACTACATGCAACGCGAAAAGAAAAAAATTGAAAAGGAACCTTAGAAATTCATCGGTGGTGCAAAAACTACGCTCCACTACCGGAATTTACAATAAATCGTGCAGATTTAGTACACAGCAGCGTTATTTTTTACTGAAAGTGACTTACCTGTTCCAAACGAAGCATAATAGTGCCAGAGAATAACAGAATGCAGCAGAAGATGAAATAATAGTAATAATACAAATCAGCTGACTGCTGCGACATCTATCAAGTTTGTGTAGTCCACAGTCACGTGCCTCTATGCCAACCCCTGTATCTCGGATATGGACTGTATAGCGGTATTTTGTCATTTCAGTTATGTTCAATGCGTACAAGTCACCTGAGTGTGCAGAAACAGATTGCTAATATGCACGTGCAAACAGGCATAATTTCAAAGGTCACCATTTTCTTGACAACACATTATCCTGACTTCCCTTTTGCGGATTTGTTTTATCTTGATGGATGGAATCCGCTGTCCACTGAAATGCAGGGATTAGTGTTAGACCAGCTGATTCTGAAAGGCTTCAGAGTTGGGATTTCGAGGTGTACGTTTGCATTTGTCGTCTTCAAAATAGAAGCCTCATTTTATTTCTTGTCCACTGCTGGCAACATTCACACCTGCACATGATCGTTGCGATTCTTTTTTGTCTCTTCGCTCCGACTACTTCCCAGCAGAAGAAAACTGTAAGTATCCCATGTCATCAAGTGAAAATTTTCTGCCCCTTGGTTGAAATTTTTTAGCAATTTCTCATCTTTAGGTGACAGTCGGAATTGCAGCTGTAGAAGACGTGCTTCCGAATTTTATGGGGTTTTCAGTGAGCGGCGGTGCTATCGGTCTAGCTCTTGACCGAATGCAGTCGGAGGGCATAACTTACGGATGTGACTTCAAGTAAGATTTTTTCAGCATTTTGAGAAAAGATGAGGATTTGACCCGGAAATGGAATTGTGCCTGGACCAACTGCCCGCGAGATTGAAGGAATTGACAAGATGTTTCAGTTCATCATGAAGCACTGACAAATGTTATGTACGAAATCTGAGCTAATTTCAACTTTGTTCTTAGCTAACGACAAGCTAATTTTTGAAAATCAACGCCTCCTCATGCTCTTCCGTTTCCCTCAACGTCCGACGTCCGAATAAAAATATTTTTGCTAGTTAGTAAAGAGTAGTGTTGAATACCGATTGGGGATCGAATTGTAAAGCTTCGTAGGCAGACTTCGACGCGCACGCATGTCATGTACATCCAGAGTCAACCCTGCGTTGCGCAGTTTTCAACGGCCACGTTGCGCAGTTTCGCCCGATTAGACACGTTCTCTCGCGCGAACATTCACACTCGCATGCTCGAGCCGTCTGCGTCTCCGCCCATACAGCGTGCGTTGAGGATCTCTCAACGTGCCGTTGCGAACTGCGCAACGCAGGGTTGACTCTGTGTACACTCATCGCCGCGAGGGCTGTTGCTTATGTCGCATTGGCCTGAAGTGGTCCTCGGACAACTGGAGAACTTCCGAAATAGACTTCAAGCATCTGGTTGAGTAATGAAATTTTGACTGATTAGTTTAAAGAGCCCATGCCCTAGGTAGCAGCCACAGACAGAACCCGCCAGACGAAGCCCGTTGAGTCTCTCCTTGTGGGGAACGGTGTAGAGCATCTCGAGGTTTAGTGGGCAAATGTTGGAGTAGTTAGTAGGGTCTGTAATGCACGGAGAAACGCTAAACTATAGAATGAATGACAGAGGGAACTATAGCAAGCTATCCGGACGAGCGCACAGACGAAGTAGTAAGGAAATCGACCGGCGACTAATTAATCGATACCAACGGGGGGGGCACGGTTTCCCACACGATCACTGTAGATAACAAGTGTGGGGTGGTCAAGGTGGCTGACTGTGGCAGTAACCAACACACCCGAGGAAAACCTTGGAGAGCGATACTCGATAATCGCGACGAGTGCTGTCATCCCACTGAAATCATAGAGGTCCCAGAATTAGAGGAACAACTAGAACATGGTTCGCCAAGCATAACACTGATTCCACGAAAGGTTCTGGCAGGCTAGATCTAGCGGCGCTTCATCGCCACACGAAAGGTTGTGTGGGCTTTTAGACTTCATTAAGTTCGGACCAGCAGATGGAGATCCGAAGCTTGCAGCTTTCACAAGAGCGAACATAAGGTGCGGAAACTCTCCCTCTTGTTCGCGGTCCAAAATAGAGAATTTATCGAAAATCGGCCATATGGGCATTTTTGAGATCCATTGTATGTCAAGAACATAAACCCACTTGATTACATCATTTTGACGTTGGCAGAGCAAATCATCCTGTCATGGAGCAAATACCCTGCAAAGAGTGACTTTTCTAGTTCGCAATTTTGAAAAACTGTTACCTGTGAATAACTCACCGGATTCAGCTGATTTTCTGCATTGCAAGCAACAGCAAACTTGAAACCGCCGAAAAATTTGGTTCAATGAAGAAGGCACAAGAAAGACGTAATCATTTGGACATGTCTCAGATTCGTGTTACCGCACACGCCTTCCCTTTCATCTAAGGGCCTTCATCTGCGCAAGAGGTGCAGAATTGGTCTTGAGCTAGTTCTACTTCGATGATAGGAAGAACTCACATTTTCTGGAAGTTTTTTTTGGTGCATTAGACTAATGTTCGTTCTTAGTGATACATATTGGTTACAATAATTTTGGAAATCCTGTGCAACCAGCTTACCGCTTGTGCACTTCATTTCGTGTAAGTGCTAGTGTATGGAGGTTGCATGCACTGTATTTATGCCTATGTGTTATTACACATCTCGTTTACATACACGTATCCACAATGCTGATCCAGCTTCCTTTTGGTTCGCCTGACGAAAAACAGATTAGTTTCTGCAAGGAGGGTGCCACACAGAATAGCGCAGCCTATCTGTGCACGAGTGAATCTCTCATCTTGCCATAGTTATAGAATTCATAACGTGAAACTGACACGACATTCAATTCCTTTTTCGTCAGAGAGAGAGTATTGCAGTTCACGATGATGTTCAAAAAATGGAGTGTAGGCACTGGATGGCTTGCTTTAGTTCTGCTAACCCTTAAAAGTCTCTCCAAAGAGTTCTCTCCACAATGATAAAAATAGTAAATGCGATGGTCAGAAACACAGAAACATGGGTTTCTTGAAGTTTTCTTTCTGATGTTTTAGTTTTTATATTTGTTGTTGAGCCTTCAGGTTTCTGGTGAACTACACTGAATGCAGTTCTGTGAAGGCTGTTGGAGTGGCATTGGAGTACATGGTGAAACAGAAGGTGGATGTCGTTATTGGTCCTCCTTGTCCAGCACGTTAGTTCATTTTTTCTCCCAGAGTATAAGCTTTCAGGTCCCCTCAAGAGATAACGTTTGCTGAAGATGAGCCACCCTAAGGTTGCACTAGCTCTTGAAAAATTATTTGTTGGCGTAAAGCGCAACATCAGAAAGCGAGAAAACACGAAAGTGTTCAAGAGCTTTCACGCATAACGTGAACCCCGTTTTTTTTACTGGGGATTCTAAAAAAATGACATATAAAACTAAAATGGAAGGGGTGGGAACTCTCGAGGGACTTAGAACTAACGAAGAAGATGAAATGGTTCCAAGAAGGTAACTCGGCAACAGTCTTCACCTAAAAAGATTCAGCACCGAAATTCTAATTTGTTCAGCAGCCGAGATGATTGGATACTTGTCAACATATTACGAGAAAACAATGCTTGGATGGGGTTTCTTGATCGACTCTATATTCAGCGACACCAAACGCTTCGAATATATAACGAAAATAATGCCGGATTCAATTCAGTAAGTCATTCAACAACAATCGCGATCTCTCAGAAGACTTGGCTTCCTACAAAGTATCGAACCCAATCCCTGCGAAGAGCTCCCCATACCAAATAAAGCTACTACCATCCATAAACCCTGTAGAGAAAAATGTAGGACATCCAAATCAGATAAGTGGTGAGTCGAAAACCCATCAAAGAGTATTCGTAATAATGTGAACATATCGTATGATTGCAACAAATGATTTCGCTTCTGCTTTCGCTTGAACTTGTGCTGATGCTTCGATGAGATCTTGCTGTTGTGAGCAATGCATAAGAAACAGCAATAATGATCTTCTTTGGCCGATCTTTGATGCATTTGCCGGATTGTCTTTCATGCGCTTTTATGTGCAAATCGACGTCCACCAATTGATACACTGTCAGAAATTGTATGTATTAGGTTGTCGTGTCATAAGTAGTGTCTTTTTTTTTTTCAAACAAAAAGTTTTCTCGTAAATCCTTAGGCTTTCACACCATATTATATACCATTCGAAAGAGAATCGTCTGCTCTACAAGATGCTCCGTTCCTCTTCCACCTCTGTTCCAGGGTTTTCAAAATTTTAGGTCTGCGAAATGGGAGGTCCAGCCGACAAAAATTGACCAAACCGACAACTAGCTCTAACTTTATTTTCCCTGGGGAGAAATCAATCAATGATGTACCCTCTACTTACTCATGACCTCTTCTAAACATTCCACCTCTTAGGTTGCCAAAAAAACTTTCCCGTGTTTCTTTTCGAATTGGCTGACCGATAAGCCATAGCAATTTTCAAATTAAAATTGTTCCTCGTAAACGCCATTGTTTCATACCAAGTGCGTGTTTCCTTTTAGGAGCACTTCTTCTGCTCTCATCCCTGATTTGTGTTTTATTTTCTTATTGTGTATGCCGAACTAGTTCAAATTTTAGTGTAAGCAAGTTATTAAGAGCAATAAGGTGTTTTTATTCTCCACGAAAGTGACCGCATTTCTTTGAAAAAAATTATTCCTGAGAAGATGAGAAAATCAACCAGGCGTACATTCCTAACTTAGTCATGACTTGTTCTTTGAATTCTACTAGTTTTTCAATGTCTCGGCTATAAAAAAAAATTTCGACCTAGATCTCAGGTAATGGTGCTCGACCGTCGAGTTCTGGTTGAAAAAACCAGGTCTGGAAAAGGAGCGACGCGACTTCTTAGGGAACCTAATAGTCGAATGTTAAGAAGAGGTCATGTGTAAGGGAGAGGGTACATCATTTATTGATTTCTCCCAAGGGAAGATAAAGTTAGAGATAGTTGTCGGTTTGGTCAATTTTTTGTCGGCTGGACCTCCCATTCCGCAGGCCTAAAAATTCAAAACTGTGGAACATAGGTAAAAGGGAAACATAACATCTTGTAGAGCAGACAATTCTCTTTCGAATGGTATATAACACGATGTAAAAGCATCAGGATTCAGATGAAAATTTTTTGGTTGAAAAAAAGCGACACTACTTATGAGACAACCTAATATATTCAGTGTTTGATATGAAAGCGCTCAGTGACCCGAAGAGTTGTGACCACCTTCCTTGAAACGAATATTATTATTATTATTACATAACTATATTTTTCCAAGGATAACTAGTATGTGTAGGTCCATTCAAGAAAATATTACAATGCGAATTGGAAGGTGGACTATTCCGTAAAGTGAAGCATTCTCGTGAAATCACGCACAGCGCGCACAAAAATATAAGAGTAATGTCCTTTGTAATGCCCAAATTTTCTCTCAAAGACGGCCAACCAAACCCTCTTGAGAAGAAAACCTGTCAGGAACTGTATGTGCAAAGATGTTTTTGATAAGCAAAGATGGGGCACGGCCCACCCTGCAACCATAAACTTTCTACACATACATGCTCCTGGGTGGGACCATTTCAACAAAATTCCAGAATGATGAGCGCCATGTTGGAAATGTTTATAATGTTTCAATGGAATCGCGTCGCGATCTACTACACCCCGAATGTGGTACCATTCTGCGAAACGATGGTCAACGATGTAATTGTGAGTCAAACGAGTGCAGTATTTGGCAAATGAGCAACCTATTTTTCTTGTGTTTCTAGACGGCGTTTAGCAGCGATTCCTCGTACGTGGTGGATGTGGTGCAGAAGGTTACATGGGATGGTCAAGACGGTGACTACATAACTGATCAACTGCTTCGCACAAAGAAAACTGCAAGAAGTCAGTTGTTCCGGTGTTGCGGTGCCCAAGAAAAAACTTGGTGATGGGTGACACAAAAACCACATAACTTTTTGCTTGTAAAGCGAATCGCTTCATATTCCACTACAATGTTGAGGACAGGGCGAAAATTCCAAAATATTTTAGCACTGTATGAATTTTTTTCGTGACACTTCGCGCAGCTAAGAACATATGTATAATTCAATATCAGGGAAGGATGCAGAAAGCATAGATTTGCGATAGTCGTTCACCTTCAGAAACCACGAACCCAAAACAGTAGAACAAACGCTGAACATTCCTCGACAATTCCTCAAGGTATCCAACTCCTGAGATAAGACGTACTTGAAAAAAAGCTCAGTTTTCTT